TCCTGTCCTGCTGATGTTCAGGTGTATATCAGTATGTAGTGTCTCTACTTTAAAGAGTCCTCTCCTGCTGATGTTCAGGTGTATATCAGTATGTAGTGTCTCTACTTTAAAGAGTCCTGTCCTGCTGATGTTCAGGTGTATATCAGTATGTAGTGTCTCTACTTTAAAGAGTCCTGTCCTGCTGATGTTCAGGTGGATATCAGTATGTAGTGTCTCTACTTTAAAGAGTCCTCTCCTGCTGATGTTCAGGTGTATATCAGTATGTAGTGTCTCTACTTTAAAGAGTCCTGTCCTGCTGATGTTTAGGTGTATATCAGTATGTAGTGTCTCTACTTTAAAGAGTCCTGTCCTGCTGATGTTCAGGTGTATATCAGTATGTAGTGTCTCTACTTTAAAGAGTCCTGTCCTGCTGATGTTCAGGTGTATATCAGTATGTAGTGTCTCTACTTTAAAGAGTTCCTGTCCTGCTGATGTTCAGGTGTATATCAGTATGTAGTGTCTCTACTTTAAAGAGTCCTCTCCTGCTGATGTTCAGGTGTATATCAGTATGTAGTGTCTCTACTTAAAGAGTCCTGTCCTGCTGATGTTCAGGTGTATATCAGTATGTAGTGTCTCTACTTTAAAGAGTCCTGTCCTGCTGATGTTCAGGTGTATATCAGTATGTAGTGTCTCTACTTTAAAGAGTCCTGTCCTGCTGATGTTCAGGTGTATATCAGTATGTAGTGTCTCTACTTTAAAGAGTCCTGTCCTGCTGATGTTCAGGTGTATATCAGTATGTAGTGTCTCTACTTTAAAGAGTCCTGTCCTGCTGATGTTCAGGTGTATATCAGTATGTAGTGTCTCTACTTTAAAGAGTCCTCTCCTGCTGATGTTCAGGTGTATATCAGTATGTAGTGTCTCTACTTTAAAGAGTCCTGTCCTGCTGATGTTCCGGTGTATATCAGTATGTAGTGTCTCTACTTTAAAGAGTTGTTTTGGATGAAAACACGTTTATGGAAGATTTATTTTGGTCCTTGTCTACAATAAGTCAGATTTAAATAACAATAACTAGCTTTATGCAAATCCACACACACCTCCAACATGATGTCAGCACCTCTGAGGGAATAACACACACACACACACACACACACACACACACACACACACACACACACACACACACACACACACACACACACACACACACACACACAGGGCTGCCTGTGTGAAGGTGTTTTCAGACTCTAGAATCTGAGACACAGAGCAGAGATGAAGCCGGAGGATTTATTGCAGCGTCGAGGCGGAGTGTGTGTGATATGAAGTGACTGCACACACACACACACACACACACACAAACACACACACACACACACCGCTGTCGTGCTCAGTAATTGTTTGCAGAGTGCTCGACACGACTCCCGCTGACCTTTCATTTCACATCGTCGGCCTCTGTTTGTTCTCCCTGTGTGTGTGTGTGTGTGTGTGTGTGTGTGTGTGTGTGTGTGTGTGTGTGTGTGTGTGTGTGTGTGTGTGTGTGTGTGGTTGTTTTACTCTCAGGGCGAGCTGCAGCTCTCCTCTGCCATCGATACTGTTTTTTTAAATTCTTGTATCGCACCTTGTGCCAAGTGCTAACAGCCGGATACGAGTGCATGCAGCAGCAATTAGCATAATTGAAATAATAATAATGCTAACAAGCCGCACGGCACTCTGGGTAATTGGGATAATGGTGTGTTTCAGTGATGATTCTGATTCTGGTGGGAACAGGTGCCAGTTTGTTTTAGAGAAGCTGACGTTTTATCCGCTCTTTGTCTCCATGGTGTTTACTCACACGGACATCAAATGAGATTCAGAGGCTCGATGTCTGGGAAGCTACGCTGTCTAACTGGGACTAAAGGACTGCTCTGTATGTTTTACAACATGTCCAGCTTAACTTCATTTCACTGAAAGAACTCCAGGTCCAGGACTCCTCCCCCTCCTGCAGTGCTCTGTAGGTGTTAGTGCATGTAAAGGGTCTGCAGAGGATAACATCCCTGCCTGAAACGCCTCATTGGACTCCTTTGTTTACTTCTAGAACATCACTATGAAACACTCGCGCTCCTATTGGCTAACGCTCCAACACACTGTACGTGATAGGCTAAGGGGCGGGACATCTCTAAGCAGTTGACCAATCAGCAGAGCTGTATGAAGGTCTCATAGTACATATCTTTATTATATATCCATTTGTGGAGCTGCTATGTCTGTATGTAGGTTTATTGTATTGATACAACAGTCCAAACATTTAGAAATGATAAAAAAAAGTTACAAGAATTGAAGCTAGAAACTTATTCTGATGCTTTTTGCTTGGAAATATTAAATAAAAAATACTAAAAAATCATAACAATAGTTGGCAATAATGTCCTGTGGATATGTTCATTATTCCAGCTTTATAAAATACCGTTTTTAATATAAAATAGTTCAAATATCAGACAAATATATATATACATATATATACCTATACACAAACATGTACGTACACAGACATTCACAGATATGCACAGACACCTATATATGCATACATATCAACATACATACACATACACATATATACCTATATATATATACATACATATCAACATACATACACATATACATATATACCTATATATATACATATCAACATACATACACATACACATATATACCTATATATATACATACATATCAACATACACAGACATACCTGTGCCCATACATACCCCCCTATATATATATATATACACATATTCAATCAGTGTATAGAAACACAGTCAAACAAGAGATGGACGTCTTTGGGATATGTAAATATGTAAAGTACTGAGTATTTTCAGTGATGTATTAGTACTTGTACTTCAGTACAGGACGTGGTAACATCAGAAAAACAACATACACAGAAACAGATGCTCGTGGATGATTTTCTCGCAGGAAGTCAGTGTAAATATCACCAAGTGTTGACGGGTGTGATTCCTCTCGCTCTTATTTTAACACCTTTCTGACACTCCGCTGCTTCATTTAAATACAACATGATACATAAAAGCACATCAGATGAGGGAAGTAAACATCCACCAGCTGCAGGAATAA